GTGGAGGGGTTAATGACAATATTTTTTGCATTACGTGGACTACCCCAAAAAGAAACATGGATCAGGTGAGCATCGTCATTATTAAATTATAAATTTTGTTAAAAATTTATTTTACCAGCTAAGGCCAACTGAGCTATATAACTCTTTTACAGACGCAAAATGTCTACAAATTACAGCCCAACGAAGTGACTTATCACGTGGCAATTTTTTAGCAGCCAAATAATCTAAACACATGTTTATAGATGTGGAGAGAAAAACCAGAGGACCCGGAGAAAAATCCACGGGACCACAGGGAGAAAGACACGCAAACTCCAAATATACATGCCTCTGTGTCGGGATCAAACCCACGACCTCATGTACACCAGGCGAGGTAGTTAACAACTTGCCTGCACCGTGGCGCTCCTTATTATATGATTATTGACTCATTCCCCAGCCCGATGGATGCGCCTATTTCCAAATAGTCAATCTCCTTCATGGCTTTACACAAGCTGAGGACTTCTCCAGCAATATAACCTCAGTGATGCTGGCCAGCCAGGACCATGAGACAGCTGCCCCAAGCTGCTACAGCCACTCTAACGGAAACCTTGTCAGGGTATGTGCCCCAGGTGACCATTAAGGTTGAACGAGGGGCATATATACGCCACGAGGCCACGCAGATTCTACACGCAGGGTTGCATTTTAATATTTGTTTTCACCAAGGTGATGAGCACAGGCCAAACAGACTCAATCATCGAGCGGCTAGCAAAAAAAAACAGCACGATCAAAGTTTGAATAGGTAAGAGTGTAAACACGTTTCTTGAGCTTGGGAAAAGAGACGATGTTGGGAGGAGGAACTCTAAAGTGGAAGCAGTGCGAGGGAAGAAGCAGAAAGAGAAGTGAGGTGACCTGCAATGTGGTAAGTGGGTGAGTGAGTGTGTGAGTAAGTGAGTGAGTTGTCGTGACCTGCAATGTGGTAAGTGGGTGAGTGAGTGAGTGTGTGAGTGAGTGAGTAAGTGAGTGAGTTGTCGTGACCTGCAATGTGGTAAGCGGGTGAGTGAGTGAGTGTGTGAGTGAGTAAGTGAGTTGTCGTGACCTGCAATGTGGTAAGTGGGTGAGTGAGTGAGTGTGTGAGTGAGTAAGAAGCAGAAAGAGAAGTGAGGTGACCTGCAATGTGGTGAGTGGGTGGGTGAGTGTGTGAGTGAGTAAGTGAGTGAGTTGTCATGACCTGCAACGTGGTAAGTGGGTGGGTGGGTGAGTGTGTGAGTGAGTAAGTGAGTGAGTTGTCGTGACCTGCAATGTGGTAAGTGAGTGAGTGTGTGAGTGAGTGAGTGAGTTGTCGTGACCTGCAATGTGGTAAGTGGGTGAGTGAGTGTGTGTGTGTGAGTAAGAAGGAGAAAGAGAAGTGAGGTGACCTGCAATGTGGTAAGTGGGTGAGTGAGTGAGTAAGTGAATGAGTTGTCGTGACCTGCAATGTGGTAAGTGGGTGAGTGAGTGTGTGAGTGAGTGAGTAAGTGAGTGAATTGTCGTGACCTGCAATGTGGTAAGTGGGTGGGTGGGTGTGTGAGTGAGTAGTGAGTGAGTTGTCGTGACCTGCAATGTGGTAAGTGGGTGGGTGGGTGAGTGAGTAAGTGAGTGAGTTGTCGTGACCTGCAATGTGGTAAGTGGGTGGGTGGGTGAGTAAGAAGCAGAAAGAGAAGTGAGGTGACCTGCAATGTGGTAAGTGGGTGAGTGAGTGTGTGAGTGAGTAAGTGAGTGAGTTGTCGTGACCTGCAGTGCGGTGCTTGAACACACTGTTGTACAGGATGAGACGAAACAGTCATTCGAAGAGACCGAGTCCTCAACGTGGGTTGGAGGAATCAACGAGCGAAGCGCACGGGATCTGGTAGTAGCGATAGAAGAGTGATATCGAGGCAACTGATCGCGGCATTCATCAATCACCCTGACTGCTGCTTGCTGGTGGCAGTTGTGAGCTCCCGACACCGCATTCTCGAATGACCGCTCTCCAATCCCGCAATGGTGCCCCACTCCGCTGGCCGCCTGACCGCACGCGATCTCGTGGTCGCCAATTCTCGGATCCTGCGACTGCTGCCATTATAATGTGGGTGCACTGCCCGACTAACAATCTCTAAGGAACATTGAAAGTCCGTATGATTTTTTATATATATACTGTATATTAAACAAAGCTGTTCCATGTCCCAGAAAACCAATGGGAAGGAATATTTTCAAAAAGAGCAATATTTTCATGGATAGATTGATAATTCTAAATAATAATTATGAATTTATCTCACTTTTGCGCACGGTATGTTTGGAACCCATCTCTTATTGGCAATACAGAATCATCAAATGGTATCAGTTATACGTGGGAATTTCAACAACAAAATAATAAAGCAGGGAATTTTCCTCCTTCCCATGTCTGTCCCTCCACGTAAAAATACACGTGTTTTGTGTAGGTATCCCATCAGCCATACTGCCTTCTTGGGTGTCTAAAGTTGTTTAATTGGCTAAACACATGCAAACGCAGTGTCTCATCAGCAGTCAGGCTCGCTTGAATCAATGCTGGGGAACTTCCAGATGTGTAGAGGCAAGGTCCCCTCCCCCTCTCTATTTGATATGGATCCTAGTGTGATGCAAAACTATTATAAGAGGTTTTTTTCCATTGAATATTTTATTAGGCATCAGAGCTGCAATTATACTGAATTAAGTGAAAACCAAACTGGGTACGATGATATTCTTCTGTGCAGTCCCACATCCAAGCTCCTCCATTGTCCCAGCTGACGGCACTGACAATGTATTAATTAGCTCTCTACGCCAATTGGTTCTCAATCCTTTTTTTGTTGGGCTACTGTATCTCTTATTAAATTTTGTTTCAACCGAGTTACCCCCCCCCCTTGCCTGACCTTGCCTGACCCAACGTGGTTCTGAAAAATACATGTATGAATAATGAACATCAATATTTTAACCAATTGTCCACGCTGTTAGGTATCCTAACTAGCTAGTAACCGCAAGCGAATACAAAAATCAACACACGCCTCTGCAAGCACGGCGTCATTTATTCGTTCTCGCTGGTTACTCTTGGAAACCACATTGTGTAGGAAGGTTTTTGCGTTACCGGTTACCGTATGGATTTTATCGCAGTTTTATATTGGCAGCGTCATACATGACTATTTACCTATGACTCGCATGTATGATATAATTTCACACAATTATAAATCATCTCACGTTCACCCCCTGGGACATTGGCACGTACCCTCAGGGGTCCGGCGCGTCCCCCCGGTTGAGAACCACTGCTCTAAACCATCCGCCCACGTCCGTCGCTATGGCAGCAACGTTCCATCGCATGGCAGGTGATGTGCATATTGCATGCAATTGAAGACCGCTACGTCGCAGATTTGTCGTCGGTCCGTTCGGGCAACTTTTTACGAACCACTCACAACACCGATTATAAATTATTGTTACATTTTTAATTATAAGTCAAAATCAGACATTGGTGAAATTTTTAATTTGCCCGTTAAGTTCGTTTGCATGTCAGATCACTAACTTTACATTTGCAGTGGTGTATGCAGTGTCGTATTCCTCTTTATAGCAAGCGTATATTCGTATTATTATTACAGAAAACCAACATTACGTTGCGTTGCGTGCATCTTTACGGTTGCTGCTGTCCCTGCACAGCGCACAGTGAATACTGATCGTGGTTACTTCTTTTTTGCCTAAATTCGCACGATGGGAATTGCTTTCACATTATCTCACCCACTGGGTGGAATGGAATGGGTGAGGTTTAGTGCTCTATTGCCAGCCACTCGGTAAGGCTCGCCCACCTCTGTCTGGTTTTGACCCAGCGAGTGTGAGAATTGGCGTCTGTATTGATACGTGCCAAGATCTGGTCGCGGGATTGGGTTAAACTTTACAGTATTACTTGCAGTGTAGTTTTGATAGAGACGGAGGCTGACAGAGAAATATGCCCGGGTTTGTTCTCCTGCGGAAAATGTGTCAGCTCTACACTAAATGCCGCGGGAAACATTGCAGAGTCAATGCTTGATTTGGCAAGTCAAGTTTGTCAATACCTTCACCGTTGAATGCTGCATAACGAGCATGAATAAATACCATCTCTTCCTGGGTAAGAGAGGCATTATTGACGTAGCTGTTCTGGAATATCAATTGATCTTCTGCTGACAGGGGTCCAGAAATGATATTTCTGACAGCCACATTGAAATGATTGATAAAATACAGCATACTCAAATGCGGCACGCTCTGGCATACTCAATAGATGCAATGTAATATTCAACGGGTGCCCCAATCACATGTATAACCGCTGGTTTACTTACATAGCCGCACAAGGAAGTGCGTTCATGACTTTACCCACATTAAAAGTAATTCCATACGGTAATGTAAATGTATATTCTAGATGTTCAATAGAGAACGTTACTTGTATAAATAGCTACGTCAATAAAGGACATGAGGGGTAGACTTGGACCACGGATAACAAATGTAAGCAGGGGTAATGAAGAGTAAAACGATTGGCAGCTTGGTAGATTAGCAATTATATCCTTGGTTCTTTCGGTAAAGTCACGTAGAAGGGAAACAATAAAATACCGAAAGAACCAAGAATATGAATCCCTGCAGTCACGAAAGCTTTAAATCAAGATTAGCAATTCTATCAAAACCTACAAGGGAACTCCTCTTCTCTGCTACCCTATTGCCCACGACTCCTATAGCCAATGGGAGCTGCAAGGCCCGTGAAAACTCCTGCTACCCACGTCTATGACTAGCGACGATCGGGGCAGCTTTACCCAAGTCGTTGCGGAAACGGAGTCCAATTCGCCGACAAGAACAGTCCAGTGAAAAGAAATGACTACGATCGACCGAAAAAAAATGTTTCCCTCCCGCGCACAAGCAGCGGCAGATTCGTTACTAACCCCGCGCAGAAAATGGATTCGCAGTATTGTTATCACGGGGGATGAGAGCGCTGTTCTCCCGTACAATAAGTTAAAAAGGCAATTGTGCGTTTGCAACGTAAGACTCACCAGCTCCACGTGGCCGTACGTTCCTACGCCGAGGGTTCTGACGACGCTGAAATCAGACAGCTTCAGCTTGGGGATAGCACCCATCTGTACCTCCTTCCTAAGCAGGGGTTTTGGAAGGAAACACATCAGGGTGATCAATGACTGGCAGACGATTGCAATTTTCAAAAAGGTGTGCGAGGGGCGTGCGGAGATAACGCGTTATTCGGTCAACTCGAACGCAGTGGCACGCGCTCAGGTTCGCGTCTTGTACGTAAACCAACTAAACACGTCCGGTATTCAGCAAACAGAAGGCACAGTTTGAAATAGTTTACAGCATAGCAAAGCGATTTAATAGTTTCATAAGTGTCATATGTTTCCTCCTTGATTCGGAAAATAGGTACAAAGCTCATCAGGTGCAATTACATTGTCTCTTTTGGTGCGTTTATAGTCACATTAGCTAAATGACAGCATTGTGATTTCCAGAGCAATGCAAAGTCACAGAGTGTGTTTAATTCCTGAACACTAACTTAATGACACTCGAGCTATTAAACATAGACAAACAATTCTATTACTTGACGTATCCCCACGGTATTTTTCAAATGCCATCGTCCAGAGAGGTATGCCAAAGACGAGGGTTATGTAACTGCGTGAAACCCATACTAACAATGTCTCTTTCCCCTCCTCATCCTCCTCCTCCTCCTCCGCCGCCTCTTTTGCCGATGGGAAATTTCCACCCGTCCCATCCTCGAGACAAAACCGTGGGCAGCAGCCGCGTGCCGGGCTGTCGAGGGCCTCGTCCCACTCTGCCTGCATCACCCCGTCTCTTTCGCTCCCCTTTCTCTCTCTCTCTCGATTTACGAGCGGAAAAGAGCGGCGGCGAGAGGTGCGCGCGCACGGTCTGCTGGGTGGTTCAGAAAGTTATGAAAAAGGTCCCCCACCCACCCACCCACCCCCAACCACCCACCCACCCCCAACAGGCTCAGGATTTATTTAAAGCCACAACGCAGTAAGATGCAGCGCCGTTCCAATCTACTTTGGACGTCACTGAACACGATGCTGATGTAACAAATATAATGTTCTCCCTACGGAGACTTACAGCGGTAATGAGAGGGTGGAAGAGAGGGGCCGCTGACAGGGTTCAAAGCACACGGTGAGGGAACGCGGCGGCGCTGCAGGACGGTACAAAGATAGGAATCCCATTCCTGGGCTCCCCCGGAGAGCTGTCAATTAGGAAAACCAGTGCAAAGTTGTAATGGGAAATATCATTGCGCTATGCACTGTAGTAACACGGCACAGTAGTCGCGGTAGACGCTAAGTGACGAGCGCTCCTGCCGCGTGTTAGAATGCCAAATGAATGTGGCACGTTTGTTTTTTAAAAATGAAACGTATGCGTTGGACTCGAGATGCATAGGAATAACGAGCTGCATGAGAGCGAAAGGCGCAGAGGTGGTGGTCGAGCTGAAACAGTGGGCACGTAATTTCGTCCAATAGGTCCCAAATTGCCTTGCCATTCTGCCGCTGATTGGTCTGCGATCTAAACTAAACTCAAATAAACTTTCATTTTCATCAGCTAAGGCCCACTGAGCTACTAGATTATTATTATTTTTATAAGAGACCTGGCCACAAATGATAGCTCAACGAGGTGGCTTCTCATGTGGAAATTTATAGCAGCCAAATACTCTTAAACGCATGTGGATTCTAAATGTGGGAGGGAAAAACTGAGAACCTGGAGAAAAATCCACGCGACCACGGGGAGAACACACAAACTACAAATATACACACATCAGGGTCGGGATCGAACCCATGATTTCCTCTATACCAGGTGAGGTAGTTAACATACGATACCAACAGCAACACTCTCCCTCAACCAATCCTGAACAGGATTCATTAGCAGTTGATACTAAATGGGTTAATTGGCCATTGCATATTTGAGTGAGAATCAGGTTTGACTGCAGGCGCCATATTTAAATGTTAATGGTTTAAACGTGATTGGTCAAGAAGAGTGAAGTTGTGATTCTGACTTTTAGTTTGCCCAGGTGCCGAGAAAAACGTCAAATGGCCAGCAACAAACTGCACCGTCAAAGTTGGAAAAGATAAGAGGGTGCACTTTCTTAAATTTAGCGAGTTTATTTATTGCAAGAACTTGGGTAGAGAGACGATGGCAGAGAATTCCAAAGTGAAGCAGTGTGAAGAAAGAAGCAGAGGAAGAAGTGTTGTGACCTGCAGTGTGGTGAGTGAGTTGGTGAGTGAGAGGGCGAGTGAGTGAGTTGGTGGATGAGACGAAACAGTGAGTCTGGTAGACCGAAATTAACAGGAACAGTAACCATTATTATCATATTCTTGGTTCTTTCGGTAAAGTCACTTTTTTCAAATTTTCTTGCTGTGGTTTTCACACCTGATGATGATTGCTTGTGTTGTAGTCGAAACGTCGTGAGAATTTTATTGTTTTATATTTTTATTATTTTATTGTTTCCCTTCTACGTGACTTTACCGAAAGAACCAATAATATGAATCCCTGCAGTCACGAGAGCTTTAAATCATTATTATCATGATACTTGTTTACCCAGGAACACCTCACTGAGTCTCAGTCCTCCTTTTCAGGAGTGTCGTGGTAGCAGCAATTCAAGAGGGACGAGGAGGCGACGGATGGCCAATGAGTTCCTCGAGTGAATCAGTGAGTCTTGGATCATCAATCACCCTGACTGTTTCAATTAATTCTACCGGGCGCAGCACGCACATAAAAAAGGTCCATACAATGGCGTTTTAAAACTATTTTAACAATATTATTTCTCCCCATCTTGATACACTTATTGAGAATATATTGTTTATGAGGAAAGTAATTAAATCGAAAAAATACCCACGAATTTAACATTGAAATTAGTTAATTTTAACAGTTGAATTCGCTGGTGTCAAATGAGCATTATTGTATATAAATAACATTATTTATGAATAGCCTAAATTTGATCAACCAAACTAATTCTCTGGCCACGTGGCTCAGCGGTTGACCAAGTGACTCGCAATCGAAAGGTGAAGTTCAAATCCTGGTTGGGGGTTGACTCAGAAAATCATCCCTCTGGGAAAGAGTGGTTGTCCCATAGAAAGACTCGCCATGGCCATAGAATTGTGAAATGTAAACGACTATATACAGGAGATGAGCACCGCCTCAATGATCATTGAAGCCCTCAAATCACTTTGAATCTAAAACTAATTCAGGGGAAGCGTTTCGAAAAGTAAAGTGATGAGTTAATTTGATATATTTTTATGGATACATCGTTAATAATATAATCTATCCACGGCTCTATATTTGGCCTAATTAAACTTAAGTGGGCTGATGTCAACCGTGAGCTTTCCTGAAATTTAGTTTTCGCTATTTTACATAATTTTAAGTTTAACTTTTTCACGCGCAATATTATTTTAGAAGAAAACTCATAACCATGACATTAAGAGAGGGAGCTAATGGAGGTGGAAGGGAAGAAGCTCTTCGGTTTTCAGTTTGCAGTGCACTGACAGCAGCTGCTGTTGCACCACTTGTGCTAAGTAGTTTCGCCTCCAACTAGGACCCATGTCTAACAGAAAATCTCCTTGCCTATAAACAGCTGGGAGTTCACCAGCGTTGATAGTGACACTTTGAATGTCTAAACCGGTCCAGAGTTTTTCTTGTGACGAACCAATGCTGCTGAAAGTATGGACTCCCAGAAGAATGTGCGGCTGATGGGATGTGTAAAGAATATATTTGTATGTATTATGGCGAAGGACAGATATGTCAAGGAGGCCGAGTGTATGCTGATCTAAGTATCAGTGATTCGTTTTAACGCAGGACAAGCTTTGCTTTTTTAACACAGGACAGGTTTTGCATGCCCTGTGTTATAAGGTAAATCTATTTTTATGTTTCTACAGTTCTTTTAGGTCACATAAGATATAATGGATCTTAATTTTGTAGCAATAACCTCAGTAGAATATTGCAGAATGTAATAATTAAATGTGTTGGCAAAACCCATGGACCCTGCTAGGCCACCTTATTGTAGAATACAGGGGCTCGTGGATGGGACTGTGGGACCATAGCTGGTGCAGTACGACTACTCGGAGACACCTCGCGGCCAGTGCCCCTGTGGCTGGATAACGAACCCTGGGTAATCAGCTCCTTACCAAATATTAATCACTGGAGTGCATACATCAGTGAAAGGGAATCTCAAGACACTGTAAAACTAGGTACACACACAAAACACAAACACTACTCGCATACAAGATACATACAATCAGGGGCGGAGCCAGGGGGGGTGACAGGTGTGACATTCTGAGTATAAGTGTACGACACTCGGTCTGGCGGACTCCGTGCAACTGCATTGTCAGAGCGTGTCGCCAACCGATGGCGTCTAGTTCAACAGCCTGACTCTCTAATCATTCTTGAAATTAAAATTTGTTGAATGTCACCCCGGCCTGAAATCCTGGCTCCGCCCCTGCGTACAATGTCATTCCAATAAAATAATTGGGCGGATTGGCATAGTGGCCACACCACACTTGCAAAGGTGGCACACGAGCTCTCAAACACGTGGTCCATGGGGGAACAGCAAAAATTGGTACCACCTATGGTACCGATGTGTTTATTTGGCTAATCAGAGTAAATTAATGTAATTGATAACCCACTCATTTACAATTATGACATAACTCATTATTGCTGACCACTCAAGTTATGCCACCCCTGATGGTACCCACGGACTAACAGACTGCAAGCTATTGCACGTATTGGAATAGTACTCACCAGCTTTGCGCACATCACCACTTGCCTCGGTCTTACATTCACCACGCACCACCACCACCACCAAACACGTCTCACTCACCATAGACTGGCCTCTCACACCCACCAGATACTCACCTCTCACATTCACCAGACAATCATCACTTACACTCAGCAGACCCCCACACCAGACACTCACCAGATACTACAAATACAAAAATCCACGTATAGCCTTAGGGGCCGTCCATAAATGACGTCACGCGATTTTTGACGATTTCTGACCCCCCCCCACCCTTCGTCACACGGCGTCACAAAAAGTCAGACCCCCCCTCAAATATGACGTCACAAAGCTCTGCGCTCTCCCCCATCCAAAAATAAAACATGCTTCAGATCGTTTTAAACGATTGTCATTGTAGTGCGTATTTAATGTGGCGCTGCACTCTGATGTTGTAGGAGAAAACATTCATTAAAAAGTATATTTAATTAAGTAAAACGTGTTGTCTATATTTATTTAAAGTTGCGCATTTTGATGTGACGTCACATTGCTCAACCCCCTCCCCTCGTCACACATCGTCACTAATGTCTGACCCCCCCCCCCCCCCCCCAGGTGCGTGACGTCATTTATGGACGGCCCCTTAACAGACTGTAGACACGACACCACTCACCAGACACGCACCAGTCACCATGCAGCACACACACACTCTCAGTGATGACAGACAGACACGAGGGGTGTCATATGAAACCTTTACATTTCCCACTGAAAATAAGCAGCTGCCCAAAGCACGACGATTCCCCACGATCCTAAACAGATGCCAGTCTCTGCATTCTACTACTGCATTCTTGAGCTCCTCAAATGACTTCTTTAACTTCACACGATCAATCACTTTATCAAAGTCGTCAAAACACGAATTGTGTGGGCATGTTCAGGGCGTGTGACACAGTGGCTCAGCGGTGGCGCGTTCGCCACTCATTGCAGAGGTTTGCGGCTTGGTTCCGGCAGGCCACCCTGGTTAATACTGGGGCTGTATATAAACAAAGTGGGCTCGATTCCCCGAGCAAAAATCTTTTATCACTGACAAGTCATTTCTTTAGAATAGATTTTTGTGTTTAGTTTGTTGTCCTTTACCGCACCTCCTATCAGCACGGTTGGCTACGTACGGTGCG